AGATGTGGTAACTCTGCGGGTACTTGCTCCTACAAGCAATAACAACAGCTCCCTACAGCAACTGTGTGCTCTCTCGGCTTTGCTTTCCCCACCACAAGAAGTGCCATTCGGCTGCCTTTACAGGAGGCGAAGCATGCGCACGGTGAGAGCAGTCACCCCGCTCAGCTGGGCTGGCAAGCACTGGCTTGTCAGGTGGCAGTAACTTGATCAAATCTCTAAGCACTAATACTGAAATTCTGCTGAGAAGACCTCTTCAGAGATGTGGTCATTCTTAAGGCATCGTAAAAGTGGATGTGGCTGTGCAGTGGCAGAGTTCAAACAGGGAGCCCACGATCTTCTCCCCAGGTCTACGTGAAGTTCTCCAGCTTTGTAACCAGTCACTGCTGCTGTTATCCAAAGCAACTGCTTAAAACACTTTCTGCTGTTGGAATACACCAGAACAGCCCTCCTCCCACATCCAGCCCCCGTATAAAATGATCTAAATGCAAAAGAAATGACTAAAAGAGTGGTTTTGGAAATAATTAGGTCAATTAGAATGTAACAAGGAGAGTGGTCTAGACATAGAGAGCATTTAAATTAGCAACAAACTGTTCCATTTGGGTTCTTCAGTTCAATCAGCTATTTAATCATCAATTCATCTATGTGAATTCCTAGCAAATTGGGGAATTTGCTAATTTAACGTACCCTGAAGGTGGTGACTAAATTATGTATCAATGTCACTGATGCCTGCTCTGTCTAAAGCATAAGAGAAACGCAGCCAGGCTCTTCAGAGCAGAGAGCGGCTCTGGTGTCACACACTCTCCAGGGATGACAGGAAATGATGTGTTTTAGAAAGGTCTGTAAGGTTAAAAAAGACACTCTTGTTCTGCATTAGCCAACCTGAATTTCATTTAAACTTTCCTTGCCCAAACCTGAAGCTCAAATGCAAAGCCGCTGAAAAAAGAGAGGGAACTGAAATAAATTTCTTTCTCAGCATGTCCTGTACTCCAAAGTGGCAGGAGGCCATCTTTGAAGCCAAAGGTAATAAACAATAATCACTTTTATAAGTGATACAGTACAAGCAGATCTAAAAGTGGAAGATGATATAGGAAACCATAGCATCCTCTTACATGATACATTAAGAAACTAATCCTGTGGCGTGTACAGCACTTCTCCCAGGCCAAATAAAATGCCATCAGTCTCACCTTGTGGGGCTAACCCTTATCTGGGTGAACCTGTCCCCTGTGGAAAGCCTGCACAAGAGTTATCCATCACTCAGGTCACTCCTTTAATTGTAAGTGACACATTAAAAAAAAAATCTGTTCTGACTTTATAATTGATGCCCTGCCAGAAACAGTGTCCTTCCTCTGGGGCTCAGGTGTGATCCTCTCACATCCTTCTTCAGGACTGACACAGTCTTGAGTGAGACTAAAATCAAGCTCTGAAGAAAACAAGAGTACAGTGTGTCTCTGAAAGGGATCTTTGCAGAAAACATGGGTGGGGAGGGAGGGAATGGAAGATGAGGAAGTTGGGTGGAGAGGAAAACAAAACTCGAGTTTTTGAAAAGTCTAATTTTGTGCTGCACAACCTGCATGTTTTACCCTCTTTACCATTCACTTTCATTTAGACTCAGCAATTTGAGGAAGCCCCTGCTGTGTAGTCAATAACAGATTGTGGATTCAATCTCAGGTCCTGCAAAGAGCAAAAATAGATGCTATTATTTGTCACATAGTAGCTCTGCTTAAACCTCCCGTAGAAAAGGGCACACTCCTGTCTAGTGAGAGCAGGCTGGCAGTCCCAGAGATCCCTTCAGGTATGGTGGATGGAGTGGTACCTCTGCAGGTAAGAGGCAGTATCATTCCAGCATGAGGTGCTCTTTGTCAGCACACCGTCATCTGCAGGGGTTCCTGAGAGGTTACGTGGTGACTGGAGAACAGGCCGAACTGAACGTCAAAGAGTTCAGATGCTTCTTGAGTGGTATTCAAATGCCTAGAGATATAGGGATGGGTGCAGCCTTGGCAAGATCTTAAAAGCAAGATAAGGAGGAACGAATAATTAGGCATCTGACTGGAGCTGAAAATTCACATCTCTCCTCAGGATTGGTGAACAGCTCTGGCTAAAATAAGATGCAGTTTGAATCTTTGCCAGTTGCCTGTATTAAACTGAACCCTTCTTTTTTTTTTTTTCTTTTTTTTTTTTCACTTAAGATCAGAGATTGCTTTGTTCAATGTTGGAGCACGTCAGAAATTCTTCTGTGATCCTTGGAAGTCTAAGTCAGGGGAGCGGAGAAGAAGGAGTTCCCATGTTGCTGCATTTGGCACTGGATGCAACTGAGTGAATGCTGCCTCCAGGTCTGGGTCTGTGATTCAGCAGGGATTTTGATAAACTGAAGACGCTGCATAGATGCAAGTACTCACCTTGCTACCTTTCCAGGCCTGCTTTTAGGACATTTGTCTTGGTTAAATACGAAATCCAAAGAGAAGGGCCCTCTGCTCACAACAGGACTGGCTGTTTTCAGAGGAGTTTGCCCTTCAGGCCAGGGCCTTGCACAGAGATCAGCTTCCTTCCGTAGGCACTTGCTGGCTTTAAAATTACTTGCACCCTTCTCTAATGGGCCTGATAATGGCATGGATCTGGCTGACCCCAAGCCCTTGGGATCCTAAAAGGTTGCAAGCACCATCACTACAGCCCAGAGCAGAGCCAGGAGAGGAGTTACAAGAAAAATTCCCTTTGACTTCAGCAGAAAGTGAGATTATTTGGGTAATAAATGAATACAGCAAGTATAGACTAATGTGGCCAGATCTGAAATGAAAATAAAGACAATTTTAACATTCCTTTACAGTGCATGATTGAAGAATTTGGTCACACGGCAGGAAAGAAGGTCACTAAAGAGAGCTCTTTTAACAGAAGCTCATTCGTATTTTAAACTAGTCACATGCCTTTTAATTTGTATCTTCTCTGATGTGAGTCCCCACTTCCTTCATCTTTATTTACATTGATCTGTTTTCATAATTTGCTTTGAATTGCAAGCAGACTTTTCTCTATTAGCCAGTTTGAAAAGGGCAGCAGAAGCATCCCCACTCAACTCCCGTTTGCCCTGTGGAGGAATCATTTCTCCTAATGAAAGAGCATCATGGCAATCACATTGACATGATGCATTTTATGCTGACTGGTCAAGATCAGTTTTAGAAACAAACTGTAGCATACAAATGTTTCTGCTCTTCCATTTATCTCTGCAGTCTGGCACACATCAAATGCATTCCACGTCACGTCGTGGACGAGAAAAAAGGTTTGCATCTAAAAGGGTGGGACCCACAGCCAACATTATCAGAAGTGTTCCACAGTGATGCCACTGTGGCAAAACACAGATTTTGATCGGAGAAACATATATCATGCTCGGAAGGACAGCAGTGTTTGTAAAAGCATGCAGTACATAATGAGGAGAATTTCATCACGCAGAGCGAGGAGATGTGTCAGCGGCTACAAAGCAATGATTTAATTCATACGTGAGAATAATTTGATCTTCAGTTTTCCTCCACGTTACTTACTACACCCAAACAGCTTGTACAAGCTATCAACGGGCAGAAATTGTGAAGGAGTTATGGCTTTTTAAGATCTGACTTTCTCAGCAGTTGCAAATGCAAGAGCAGAATGCTGATTAGCTCTAAGATGACACAGGCATAAAAAAAAGGACCCCAGGAATATAATAATTCAAGGCTACTTAAAATGAGATGTGTTTTTGTAAACATTACGCAAATAGTGATTTGGGGAGTCTGAGCTCTGAGCTGAAAGCCAGGCTGGATGTATTTCCAGGGAATGTGCAGTTAGCACCTCGACCGTGATAAGATTACAATGAGCATTTTTGACTATTGCTAACTATAAATTTGAGCTGTGTGGGTCAATGTGGTGACTCAGCAATCAAAGTTACTTCATCCTGCTGCAGAGGACTGCAGTTCGGTTTCCAGCACCACGTTTAGGATTTCCAGGGGGAACAGGAGATGAGTCAGGGAATTAGAGCAACCTTGCATTACTTAACTAGTGCTTGTGGCTTGATCAATGGCACTGGGAAGGCTCTGCTGTAGGGAACCCCTGCAACAGTGTCGCAGTGTGCTCGCTGCTACAGAGCGCTGTGGAGGCTGCCAGTGCTGTCAGATGAGGGGGGAAAATAGACGAGAGGAGAAAAAAAATATACATACAGTCAGCAAACAATGTGAAAATTTACTGTAGCATCACATGGCAGACATTATTTACCTTATTGTGCATCAACTGATGCACACTGTATCCCATCTGTGATGCAGGTAGACACAAAACTTTATATCCCACGGCTAAAAAATACTGCTGTTTTCTAGGTACAGCCAATCCCTGCTAAACTGGAATGCACACAAACCCCACGACGTTCCTTAGAGCGGGAGCGTGTCCTCGCCGGTCAGCTGCAACATCGGGCAGGTAATTAACAAATGCCTGGATAAAACGAGCGCAGTCTTGTTTATCAATCAACATCCTATTAATTAGCTCACGTGTCAATTTTAATTGAAGTGATTTGTATTAATAATGGTTGTCTATGCAAGTTGTGTGGCATACCTGCAGGGATCTGTGCTTGCTCCTGGGCTTAACTTTCGGCAAATATTCTATCCTAGGAAATATCTTCACAATTTCAGAACACTGATTTTCTGAGAGCTAAATACCTGTGTAACTGATGGCTATTTAATAATAGAACCTGTGTCTGGGAAACCATTACCTGATAACTATATCCAAAATGAAAACAGAATAACAGTGTTATGTAAGAAACTGTCTGGCTGAATCCATGTAATAAAAAAGCTCCAATGACACACATAAGGGGGTAACATTATTTGCAAATTATAATAATAGCTTTCCACATCTGTTCCCATGAAGAGGGAAAACTGTGTGGCTGCTGGTATTTTATTCAAGGTTTGACTCGATCTGTACTGCTTTACATTTTGCAAAAAAACCCCACAAAACTCTATTACTCTCATCATTTTACCTTTTCTTATCTTGTTCAAGGCAGTGCTGTAGCTCAGGTTACTCAGAGGTTGTCATCATCCCAGGATCAGGTTGAGCATCTTCTGGAACTGAATTATCCCAGGTGTGCTTTCAATTTAAAAATGACTCTACTAGGACAAATATTAGGACAATCACAGCTGCTTCTGTGCTACTGAACATGATTGTTATTTTATCATTTATAGGCTTGTCAGAGCTCCCCGGTGCTGCGCGGTGTGTCCTCGCACGTCACAAGAGGCAACGTCTGCCCCAAGGAACTTATAATGAAAAACTGCAGAATGGGCTGGGAGAAGGGAATTAATCAATGATTGACTTTCTCTGCATTAAATACAGGTGTGTCTGAGGTATGGAGATTCAATGACTTGGCTAGGTTACACGGAGAGTCTATAAAAGAATTGGGAATTGAAAGTAGCCCTCTTCCATCTAAATCCAGACATGTTGAGTCATCAGTCAATAACAAGACTGATTTCCATGGCAGTAGTGTTTGGAGGCTTTAATCAGGTTTCATGTCCTATTATGCTGGGTACTGTGTAAATATAGAATAACAGATACTCTCTGCAGGCATGTCCTTAAACAGATCCCTGCTGATTTCAGTGGAACTCTACACGTCCAGAAGGGTACCCTGGGGTAGATCTGATTTTCTAAATAGGGATGAGACCCAGTAGGTGGGAGTAAAACCTGCAGGATTTATGGGGAACAGATTATAGTTAACAGGATCACGGGGGTGCCCGTGTAAGGCGCACAGTTAGCAACTTCATTGATCCCTTGTATTATTTTGGAAAAGGGTAAATCACAAACAGAAAATCACAAACTTTTTCAGTGGCACTCTGGTACCTATATGCTTTGAAGTATCTCAGTACTGGTGTTTTACTGAAATGCAAGGTTTTCCTGCCCAAGCATAAATCAAAAACACTTAAAAGAACTGCAGCAAAGCTCTTTTCCATTTTTTTTAACATGGTCTTTAGCAAAGAGTAACCTCTTTGCTGACTTAAAATGCGGGACTGTGAAAGGTAAATGGGTAATAAAGATGCTATAATGGGAGAACCGTGAGCATGTTTGGAGGACATCTGCTGAGATGTTATCGGCAGCAAAGAAGCCCTGCCCATTCGGTGACATCATTCTCTCCGGCTGCCAGCCTGTCCTGGCAGGCTCAGGGGCTGCAGCGGGAACGCTGTGTGAGAGCCAGGCTGGATGCGGCAGTGGGCTTGATTCCCTCTGGGCTGGCAACCAGTAACTGGCTGAGGAGCAGCCACTTCTCCAGCCGAATGCAGATGACAAGGCTGAGGCCAGTGAAGGCCGCAAGGCCGGTCAACTGGTTGATTCCTCTCACCGTTGCCTTTTTTATTTGAAATTTTAGTGTGTATTTTAGATGAGCACCAAGAAGCTCCTGCAGAGACTGTGCTCAGCACTGGACATGGACGTGCCGAGAGGTAGGTCCTGTCCCAAATAGACCCAAAGGGATGGTTGTGTCCTGTTTTATACAGACTCTTGGTGGACCCAGCTTAATGCATGAGCCATTCTGGTCAAGGCTGGGATGGGAAGTTCATCAGACAGGCAATGTTTGACGACTCGACGTCAAAGAAAACTGATGTTATGTGCCAAGTATGGTGAGGGATGGGGTGGGCAACCAAGAAGGTACTTGTTATATTAGGACACATGCAGGGTTTTTGAGCCTGAATTTTGCAGCCGATGTGTCTCACTCTTATTCCTAATATCCTCTCAAACTTCTCCCAAATATCTTCTTAACTTCTGGATACCATCAGCTGATGTGGCAGCAAATGTTCCCAATTCCTGAGTCTACATTAGCATGCTTGAATCAGGACTGTGCTGTTGAGGCAAATCTCCAGATTGTACTGATTTACTGTGGTTTGGTTTGTATCACAGATCAGTCTGGGAGTGCATGAACTGAGCTCCCTTCCAGTGAACCTAAAGCAGTGAGATCCTCCAGAGCAGTCCACATGAACTTTGGCCACCACTGGGCATATAGTCCATGGGACCCCATTACAGTTAGCCTGAAACACCCCCACTTCACTGAAACACCTCTGATGTGGAGATGGGGTCTTCAACATCCACTGGATCACTCCAGAAAATCACTCCTCCAAGGCCACAATTGCTCACTGCTGAGGGCAGAGGAAGAGGGTTTAGGCTTGGAGACAAGCCCAGCCCCTCAGAGCAGGATGGACATAACTCACTCTGGCCACAATGCGCAGCAGCCACCAGCCTATCTGCAGGCACAGCTAACAAAACAAGTGTAGATGTAGCCAAAGGACAGTAAAAGTACTCAAATGTTTTGTGACAAAAAGTCAGGCAGAGAAGGAGAACTCAGTGATTTCACTGAGGGCAAGTGATAGCATAAGCTTAAACCTGATTAAAAATCAAAGAACTACAGGAGAGAAATGCTCAAATAGCAGAAAAAAATTATATTTAAAAATATATAAATAAATATTTATATAATATATAAATTATTAGCAGGGCTCTCCTTTCATAGGACTGCTTCTTGTATTATAAATAAAGCAGGATCTGAATACAAATGAAGACATCAGTAAGCACAATTTTGTGGCTGCAGTAGCCAGGGGGTCAGACCTGAATGATGCTGAAATGGTCACTTCTGCCCTTCAAAGTTTCCAAAGTATACAATTTTGAGCAGGTGATTCAAAGCGTAGCAGATTGTCACGTGCATGCAGATGCCATTAAAAACACACTGAAGAAATTAAAAGCAAACCCTTCTCTTCTAGTGTTACTATACAAATAATAAAAACACTTGCCAGTCCACTGGATAAATATCCTACATATATACATATACATATTTTAAAAGATATGGGAAGTCCCTGTCACCATAATGCTTAAAACCTTAAAAATTCGATTCCAACTCTTGATCTCCAGGAAACTGCAAATCTCATGAGGAAAACTTGAGCTGCTCTGTGCTGGCTGTCACCTGGAGCTCAACACAGCCAGAACCAGTGCTCCAAGAACCCATTTGCTGTGCCTGTGTCCTCATCCAACAGCACGGCTGCTGCTCCTTGCACGGACGTCTGCATGTGGGCATCTGCAGGGGTAATCGACCCGTGAAACGAAACCCAAGTTATTATGCCCACACCATGCTTAACTGTGTAATTTTAGGTAAAGAACATAGTTAGCATTAGGTGTGTGAGGGTTGGGAATGCAACAGGAGTGTGAAAGTTTTTATTTTTCTTTTAATATGTGGCTATAATGCCAGTGTTTCAGTCTCAAAGGATTTGCCTATCTGACTGTAGTTAAGATTGTGATGTTCCCTCACACAGATCATTGGAATTTCAGCATTTTCAGGTATCTTCCCAGACCTAAGAACTCATGACGTGCTACTTTGTAAGGAGAGGGGAAAAGCAGCAGTTTGCAGCAGACTTCGGTCCCTTCAGATCAAAGCCCAGGTCTTCTGATGTGTGTCTACAGTGCCTAACGGTGCCTGGTCCAGGCTGGGACTTGTGGTTATCACTGTAACAACAAAAGCAACTGCAGTGGTGTATGGCACAGAACCGATATATTTGCTATTTTTGTTTGTTTTATATATAAGTAGCCCATTTTCTATGCAAACCAATTCAGTTCCTGTTTATATACCAAACTACCCACAGCATGTTTGCTGCCCCTTGTCATGGCTGTCATTATTCCTGGTGAAGAAGACTCTACTGCTCTCACTTTGGAGCTTGTCAACGGCACTGACACCCTGCCATCCCAGGGCTCTCCAGCTTTGGCACCTTGGAACAGAAGCTGGAAACCAAAGCTAGGTCTTCTGTCTGACTTCTCCCAGGGATTTTAGCAAGCCATCAGGAAGAGCAGCAAACAGGCCCCATTCAGTTCTACTCTTCCCATTACCAGTTTAGCTGACACTTAGCCTTGTAGGAAATTCATCAGAGAAGGACAAGCAAACTCATACATCTATTTATTCTCAAGAGGAATTTCTAAAAAGCAAACCCACAATGTTTCAGCATGACTATATATTAATTATTTTTTCCAGAGAGCTTGCTATTGTTTTGCTATTGAGAAATACACCTTCAAACATTGGATTTGCTCAGTTTTAGAAGCACAACTACGTTTATTATATTTGGTGCTGTGAAAAGCACTTCTAATTTGTATTTTTATTGAGCTAGACTTTTGTTTCAGACCAAATCTGAGTTGTTTGTCTAAAAGCTGTTAGTGCCTAGACTTAGATACTAGCTCAGTAATTCTAATAGGAAGTCATACAGTTTTTTCCTTTGAGTACCTCTGAGTACAGCCCACCTTTTAAAAAGGGAGGAACAAATTCTCTGTTGGCCCACAAAGGTGCTGTCATTACTTGAAATCATGGAACAGAGCTTGTTTTACTGAGGGTTAACTCAGTAATTCCATTTCATCTTACCATGCTAGTCTTTCTTCTTATGCCTGACTGGATAAAAACCAATTTTATCCAAAGCTTCATAGTTTAAACATTTTAAAATAATTTTTAAAAGTAACACTGAACTATATGCTACCTATATATATGCTCAAAAAGGATGGGAACAGGACTGCCTGCTCTTCTGGCATGGTATCAATACACTACTGGGCAATCAACCTTTTTTTGCCACTAACTCCTACATTCAGTATTTTCAGGTAATGTAATACCAAGGCACCGTTGATGCACCTTATCCTGAAGCACTTAATAAACGAGAGTTAACAGATGTGAAATCTGAGGAAGGGTTCAGGGAAGTCTAGGGACTTCCCTGAAAATTAGGGTTTATAGACTATAATCCCACTGATGATAACTGAGTGATAAAAACCACATTGTTTGTATTTATAAAAATTCTTGAGTGATTTCATTGTTGTCAAAGAAAAAAAAAGCTGCTTTTGTTCATTGTTGATACAAAGTCACTCTTGTTGTTGCAGACCAGGCACTTCCTACTTTACCTGGGTATTTTTATCCACAGTACTTTGCTGTGTTTGAGAGATAAGCCCTTACTCCAGACTCTGAATCACACTTCCCCCTCAGATTTGGGGAATGTCAGATCCAGATCAGGATCCAAACTTTCTAGTTGGGGCCTGTCTTTCATCATGGTAAATCAACAGCCGGCAAATCTAAACAATAAGTTTGTGTTGAAATTTGGATTTTTTTTTTAATTGTACTTCCTTTCTAGCAAACAACAGAGGTTTATTTTCTTCTCTTCAGGACAGAAAACTGTTTACTCTATGATCTTATTTTTTAAACCGCTGCTTCATTTGCAGGGGGAAGTCCTAATGACCTTGCTCACCACACAGCCTGGGAGCTTATCAATCAGGACAGGGTTTGGCAGGAAGGCAAGAAAACTCTCCTGCAATCAGATCTATTACCAGAGATCCCCCTGCCTGGACAGAAGTGTCTTACAGCCACTGAACTCCTGTACTTACATGTGCTTTTTACTTCTAGGTGTAACTGAGGCCTGAAGACTCAAAATTAGTTCATAAATTAATTTTCTCCTTGTTTTTGTTAAGTAAGATACATGTCTTCTGAGCTGCCTGCAAGCTTTGCACACTAATGATTAATTTAATTTTAAATATATCTTCAATGACTACCTACATTTTAATATACACTAAGTACTTTGTACATAATATATGGCAGGTCAAAATGTGATCACAAACCCAGATTTTTCCTTTCCATTACCTTTACATCTTAGAGAGTTCCCACAGCCATTCCATTCTGCCCTGGCACCAACAGAAATCTTTCCACTGACTGCAGCAGCTGAAGATCTGACCCTAAACTAGGTAACTGGGCCAGTGCCACAGGGTCTGCTTACTCTGCTAAGTTCCCTGAATGGTACATTTTAAAAACTGCACTGAAATATGCCCCAGTAAACCTAAAGGAGACACACAGAAAATCCTGCAATGGTATAGCTGCTCTGCCAGGAGGAACTGGTCTGTTCCCTGGTGGGAAAGGAGGCCTTGCTCTCTCTGCCTCCCCCATGAAGAAGAGTACAGCCTTTTTTCCTCTGTCTCATTGTTGGCTCCTCTAGCACACTGGTGTACCCAAAATCCAGCGACACATTTGATGCTCAGGAACCCTGATAACAGATATGATTAGTCAGAGCTAGTTGATAAAAACGAAAGAAGAAAGCGAATTTCACTAAATGCTTACAATCATTCACATGATGTCGTAGAAAAGCCTCTTATTATATCCAAAGGGTTTGATACCAGTGTAAAGGCAGAGCTGTATTCCCCATCTTTACTGCTCTAAGTGCGTTATGCACTTCTATGTTGCCAACAGTGCAAAGCTGTGGGAAGATGGGCTGTTTCCTAAATTCCAGCCAGCTTCCGAAGGCAGAAATGCGATCACTGGTGATTGTACGTTTCTGAGGAAATCCAATCAGTTCTTACAGCCCAGTTAATGTTTATGGCACTGTCAATTACAGAATAAACAAAATCCCTCAATGACCAAAGAGGACAAATTCTGATAGTGGGAGGGTGGAGAAATGTAAATCTGTCATAGGTGTTTCCACAACATTGTTTTTCAGAGCAGAACGGCTCTCAAAAACATTACCAAAAATACTGTCATGCTGTAAGCAATAGTTGAAGTAATTTGTGATGTTTTGAGCCATTCCTGCTATGAGAGCAGGACAGCCTCAAGTGCAGCATCCAGACTCACTGCCCTGGCCCCTTCACGGGCAGTTCCTTAATGCCTTGCAGACCATCTGCTGTGGAAAAGAACTATCCTCCAAGGTACTGTGATACCTCATTATTTAATCAGCTGGTATTTTACAGGACCAAGGGAAAGCTCCGAGCGCAGAGAAAGCAGACTGGCACCCCATATTTTTGGGGGAGCTTGCTGGAAGCGCTCCAAGAGATTTAAAGGAGCTTGGCCCTTCCCAGAGTTCAAAATGCCAGGGCTGACAGGTCTTCTTCCCCATGGTGGGGTCGGGTGCCCGTTTTTTGGGGTTGCTGTTTTTCCAGAGAAGGGCAATGAATCCTGTGAAGGGTCTGGAGCACAAGGGTTATGAGGAGCAGCTGAGAGAGCTGAGGGTGTTTATCCTGGAGAAAAGGAGGCTCAGGGGTGACCTTATCGCTCTACAACTCCCTGAAAGGGGGTTGTAGCCAGATGAGGGGTCGGCCCCTTCTCCCAGGCAACCAGCGATAGGAAAGGATAGTGTTAAGCTGTGCCAGGGAGGTTTAGGTTGGACATTAGGAAGAATTTCTTCACAAAAAGGGTGATTAGACATCGGAATGAGCTGCCCAGGGAAGTGGTGGAGTCACTGTCCCTGGAGGTGTTTAAAGAAAGCCTGGACGTGGCACTTGGTGCCAGGTCTGGTTGACATGGTGGTGTTCGGTCAAAGGTTGGACTTGCTGATCCCAGAGGTCTTTTCCAGCCTAATTGATTCTGTGATTCTATAAAACTGTCCACGCTCCAGGCACCCGGCCCTTAGGCCGAGTCAGGGGAGGCCACATCCCTCGCGGGGCTCAGCCACCCCCAGCTCCCCGGCCCAGGGCCGGGGGAAGGGGGAACACGGCCCGGGGCCAGGAAACGCCGCCCTCGGGGCCTGGGGCCGGGCCGGCGGGTGGGCGGAGGGGGCCGGGCCGGCGGGCGCTGCCCCGCCGCGCTGAGGGAGCTCGGAGGGCGGCGAGGCCCCGGACCCCGAGCGGGGAGCGGCGCGGAGCGGAGCGGGGCGGCCCCTCGGCACGGGCGGGAAGCGGCGGCGGGACCCGGCGGCCGCTCCGCGGAGGATGTGAGCGAGCACCGCGGACACGCGTGCGGGACAAGCCCGGCCCGGGCGGCGAGAGCGCGGCCGGGGGCGCGGGGGGAGGCGGCGGCGGAGCGAGGCGAGGGGCGGCCTCGCAGGGCGGAGCGGCGGCGAAGGCGAGCCGGCAGCCGGAGCGGGCGTGCGAGCGAACCCCACGGGCCGAGCGCCTGCGAGAGGGGGAGGAGGAGCCGCCCCGCCGCCCGGGGATGGTGAGGAGGAGGCGGCGGCTGCCGGGAGCCCAGTGAGGCCTTCGCTCGGCGCCCGCCGCAGAGCCCGCCCGCCTCGCCGGCCGCCCCCTTCCCCCGCTCAGCTCGCTGGCTCGCTCCCCCCTTCCCTCCCCTTCCCCTGCTTCCCTCCCCGGCTCCCTTCCCCTGCTGCCGCCGCCTCCTCCCGGGGCTCCAGCCATGTAAGTGACCCGCTCCCCGGCAGGGAAGGGCTGGGGGAAGGAAGCGCCGGGGCCGGGGCCTGCTCGGCGCGGCCGCATTGTGCGGGGCCGGGAGGGACGGGAGGGCACGGGGAGGGGGCGGCCGCCCTCCCTCCGCCTCCCCCGGCCGGGGGCTGCCCCGGCGCCCCCCGGGCACGGCCGGGCGGGGTGGGGGGCGCGGGGGGCCGGGCTGCGGGCGGCCCCCGGGCCGAGCGGGCGGTCGCGTCCTGCCGGCGGGCCCGGGGCGGACAGGAAGCTGTTGGCTCCCCCAGGATGCGGTGGGGGAGAGGGCGGCGGGGCGGGGGGCTCCCCTCGGGCCTGCCCCGGCCCCTGCCCGAGCATCCCCCGGGGAAACGGCGGTGGGGGCGACCGGGAGGGGATGATTTGTGTTATTTCTGAAACGGCGACGAGCGAAGTAGCTGAGCCCACCCCCCCGCCTTTTCCCACCTCCCCCGCCCCCATTTTCTCCCCTTGTCTTCTGCGGCCGCGTTGTTCAGCCCAGCTCCGCTTTGCGGACCACTGAGTGTTTGCCGACGGGGGTGTGATTCTCTCCGTGGGCATTTGGCGTGTGTAGGTGGCTGTGCAGCGCTTGTGGACTTGATTTTTTTTTTTTTTTTTGGTTTGTTGTTTGGGGTTTTTTGTTTGTTTGTTTGTTTTTGGTGTTTGGTTTTTGTTTTCTTTTTGTTTTTGCAGAGCTGTCTGCAGATGCCTCTCCCGACACCCCCCCCTCCCCCCAGTTGAAATTCTGCAATTGCCGAAATGTTCTTAGAGACTTGTAGGACTTTTGCTTCTGTTTCGCTTGTAAAACACATAATCAAGCATATAAACGTGCTGGTGCTTTTTATGTATTTTACTGACAAGACGCTGCGAATGCTAATACAGCTTGTACCTTATCGGTAGCGTGTCCCTCCCCAACCCCACTGGGGGAAGCATTTAACTATTTTGCTTTGGTTTTGTACCACGTTTAACATATAAGAAGCAAATCCACGATTTGCGCTTGTTTGTTTTATTTATACCACAGGAGGGATGTACATTTCAAAATACTGTTATAAAAGGGAGTTACTAACACTTATTGCTGAAGAATATTTGTTTGCAGGTAAATAAATTTGACATACTGCATGACTAGTAATTACTTTTATGTAGTAGTTAATTTCATGATGACAGCCACAACATTTGTCTAGTTAACAGATTTAAAGACACTGTGGAATTACCTTTGATTTTTTTTAAATAGGAGGGTTTGTGTTGTGTGTGGTGTTTATAGAACTGATTTTGGTGTACAGCAGTGGTAAATCAAATTTAAGAATTGATCCAGTGTCCACGAGTCACTTTTAGCTCCAGCATTCACTTACAGTCTTATAAAAATGTCCTGTAAGTGATTACATTAACAATTAAATAGGCTCATGACTGACTTTATTTCTTTGGGCACAGAACAAAACTTGTCATAAATACTTTAAAATGGAATTTGACTGAATGCATCTCAGGTTGGTACAGAAGTTCTGAGCAGCACAGTTCTTAAATTATATGAGCATAAACTGTAAGAGGACTTGTTCAGGAACATAAAGAGGATTTTGTCTGGGCTGCAGAGGGGGCATGAAGAAGTCACTTTTCTGCCATCACTCAGTTTTGAAATAGGCAGCTTAGTTTGTCCTGTCAAACTGTAGTTGTGGTTGCGGCTTGGACAGCTGGATGTCGTAACTCTGGCCCCTCACCTGAACGGTATTAACCTCCTGTCTATTGATCAGCAAAGGCATAAGAGCGCAAATATTTCAGGTTAGGGTTTTGTAAACCTAGATTAGGCTAACGGATTGAAAAAAAAATGAAAGTAGCTGTAGAGATTTTTGTTTTCTAGTTGGCATTTTCTCTATAGCTTAGTATCTGAGAAGCCTTTCTGAACCTTGTGATAAGCTGCACTTGCTGCCGTGCAATTCCAGCAGATGTGGTGTTGTTTGACACACAGCATAGAGTAGTAAATTCTGGTGACCACACCTAAGTTGCGGCCCACAATGCCTTTTTGTAAGGGAAGCTGAGATGCTGGAGCAACCTGGTCCTTCTAAGCTTCCTTGAAAGCTGTCTGCCCAGATTTGGTAACTGGGTCATGGTGTAAAGCTGCTGCGGGCTCAGAGGGCCTTGAGCACGTTGGAATCGCTGCTGCTCCTGTGAAACACCCAGGGCAGGATTTGCGTAACCAGGAGATGTACTTCGCTGGTCAAAGCCTGGTGGGGACATCTATCTGTACGCTCCACTTGAAATGTTGGCTGGAGCCCAGCTTGGTTGTGTCTTTGCTGTTTAGGTGCAGTTGGTTGTCAGCTGTGAGCTTACGCTGGGAGGAGAACGTGGGTTGCTCGTGGCATCCCATGTAATGGGCCCAAACACACCCCCCTCTGCTCCAGTCTGGTTCCTGTGTCTCGTCTGCTCTCATGACAGTGTCATGTGGCCATGGTAGGCAAACATGGGCATCTGGATCCTGTTTTGCCTGGTCCTGCTGCTGTGCATTATGAGAACATGTAAGGATGTGTAGCACATTTGGACTCCGGGTGTCCTGGGAGTATCAGGAATATGCCACACCAGGGCAGTGGACATCGGTAACTGGTGGTGTGACAGGCAAAGTATTAGCCCAGGAGAATGCTTTGCTGTAACCTGCTTTCTGATATGGGCTAACTAGTGCAGCCTGGACACAGTCTGACATGCCAGGACCGAGACCGGTGAATCTGATTCTCTTTTAGTCCCTTGCTTACTCTCCCTCATGAAGATGAGGTGATTACTGTAGATGCTCCTGTATCCCGTAAGCTTAAGTTTCAGCTTCAGCATGATGGAAAATTTCCTTTTCTTCCTCCTCTGCTTTAGGGTGTGAGTGGAAACGAATATAAAATTTCATATTGGAAAGAGGACAAGGAGGACAGATTCATCTCTTAATTTTGTACAGACAAAAGAAGGTGAGCATAACATATAGAGAAGAACAAGAGAAGGAGCTCTAAGACGACTCTCCCAAATACGGAGAAGATGGTTCTGCTCCACCTTCTGTTGGGCGGTTGGTTTGACTGACTCCTTAGAGCAGGTTTTGCTGCTGCAGTGCCTAGGGAAGTGAGTTATCTCATTATTTATGAAGAAGTTAATAACCTTTAAGGAATTAATATACACGCAAACCCAGCGTCACCATGATATGATGCTGGTGTCATGCCATTCATGATTTACTGCACTTCAGCTGCATGAGGAATACTTCAGTGTTAAAAAAAATATTATAGAAATGCATTTTGAAAAACAAGCAAAGAGAAGGCTAAGAGAAAGACCAAGTTGTTTAGCTTTTGACAGTATTCAGTCCTGTGCAGACACAGACTGGAGCAGCCAGGTCATACTTACCTCAGATGCCCTCTGTTCACTGGGAACCATTCCTAGATGGCCATAAATGAGGACTGTAATCATTCCTTTTTTTTTTTTTTTTCCTCTAAGGATTTTATGGAAAAGGAACTTTCTCTGGTTTACGCATCTTCAGTAGTACGTTGACCTATAGTTAACTTGCTCCTCTATTCCGAGAAATTCCTCTTGCTTGCTGCCACTGTCTTCAATAATGTCTTTTACTAAGGCAGATATATTAGGCACAGCTTGAGTGTGTGTTTTAAAATACACGAGATAGAGGAGGTTTGCTGCTGTTGGAGCTGTGTCTATGGACATCTTATTAGATAGTGAGAAGGGATCCCCGGCTCTTCACAGTAAAAATAGCTCAAGTTTCCCCCTATGAAATAAGTGCTCTCACATAGCTGACTCAAGGACCGAGGTGGAACCCATGCTGCAGGTTGGTGTCAGGGAACGTTTGATGTTTTCCCACTTGGTTGTGCCACGCTGCCTCTGCATGGCTTCATATAACACCCCCACCCACTTCACCACCCCTCTTCCCTGGAAGAGCATGGGCAGGTAAAGACATACCCCTGAGAGCAGGGCTGCAGTTGCCCGATGTTTCTTGGGTATAAATTGTGGGGGAAAGGCAGTCCAAACTACTTGGACACCACAGAGAAGAAAAAGCAGTTTCTCTGAACTTTGGATTTCTTTGTTGATCTGCTTTTTTTGGCTCTGTTGTCATTCAAATTCAGATTATGAGATGACAGCTTAGCTGATGACAAGCAGGAGGCTGCCAAGTGGTAATCCTGGCAAATGTTAACCCAGGAAAACCTGGAGTAAGTTAGTTGCAGATTGCAGAATTTTAGTCCTTCATGCTTTTTTCTGTTTTTAATAGTAGGACTGTCCTTTCTACAGATTATTTTGGCTCGTAGCTTCCTTTTTTATGTATGGTTATTGAAAAGAGTATCAATTGTTCAGTGCCACTAAATCATTGAATTCAGGGTGCAGAGGGAGGTTGCACAGTCCCTGTGCTCTGTGACTCGAGATTAGAAGCGTTAACTTTCACACCTGGGTGTTGCATTTCCATATGCAAGTTGTGATAATCTTAGGGGTTTTGTTCAACACTTTGCAAATTGCTCAATGCTCAAATGAAGCCTCCAAGCATCAACAGCATAACCTCTTGACATCAACAAGGAAGTCTAGCTTACAAGACTGTTGTGCATGCAGTTCTGAAAGGAAGAAGAAAGCCTGCCATGTTCCTCAGGTTCCATCCTAATAGCTCTGCAGCTAAAGGAGTTTGTTCCTAAGTAACTCTGGCAGCTCTGGGTTTCTGGTCTCTATTCTGCAGCGTATTGTGTTCTCATATTTATTTATGAAACTGATGAATTCTTACATGTCACTTGTTCCAATGTAATTCTGTGTGTGTTTTCCCTCCCTCATGCAAACATCTGTTTCATGGAGTCGATAATTATGACTGGTGAGATTGGCAGATTAGTAATTTGGGAAAAAACCTCAAACCCACCTTGTTTCTGGGGAGAACTAGAAAATAAAGTGTTAACTGGAAAAGCTGAGGAATAGTAATAAACAGTGTAGGTTCCTAAACAAAGTGTCAAGGGAGTGACCTTCTTTCTCCCCATGGATTTCTCCTGGCGGTGATGGAGCTTGTTCAAATTTGAGCTCTGTATGTTGAAGGCTGCCTGTTTCAGAGCACTGTGATCTACGGCACAGAGCCCTCAGCCCCTGCTGGGGTTTTATTTCTAGATTGGCTTCATTTTGACCACCTGTTTCTTCCATCCAGTGTTACGTCTTGGTGAGTTATGGGGAATTAGTTGCTTTTTAATCTAATTTCTGATGGATGGCTATCACCTGCACGCTCAGAGATAATTGATGCACACGTGCCAAATGCATGCAGCGATGGTATATATTTGTTAGGTGGTAATGTGATGTCTGTAGTTGGAGAGATACTCCAGTAAGAGCCAGGTCTTTGGTGGGAGGTTGCAAATGTTGCTGGATTTTGTTTTATTAAAACTGGTTGGTTACTGCTGGGAATTTGTCACCAATTAGGTTTTTTGATCACTCAAGTAATACCAAATTGAATGGCAGCATGGACACTCCGGAGAGCACAGAAGACATTGAAGAAAAACAGGGAACATTTGTGCCACAAGCAGAAAAATAATCAGATTCAATTTAGAAGAATAATAAAAGCTAATGCATTTGGGAAGAGATTACTTTGAATGAGGGAGAGAAATGCACGGAACATTTCTGTGGTAGTCAGCCATGAGCAAGGCACATTTTCAATAAGATATAGCAATTCTGAGCTACTTAGATAGGGACTTTGTCTCATAAAGCAGAGGGGTAAAAATCCCAAATTGCACTTGGGTGTATTTCAGTGTGAGAAAGACAACAGCAAACTGCAGTGCTGTTAGGGAAGAGCAGTAAAATTGATCAGGGCGCTATAAGGGCTGATTTAGGATAACAGAAAGGTACATGAGCTTATCTGTGGTTGTTTGTGTACCTCTAGGAGAGGTAGAAATGACAAAGGTAGACAAGATGCTTTTTGGGGAGTCGAGGAGATTTGAGTGGGATTAATGGGATGATGCTGAAGGTAAGAAAATCTGAATCAGCATGGGAATATTTACTCTCAAAGGTTTATCTCTAAGATATGCCATGTGCTGGTTAATAGAGTGCCATCATACTGTAACGACTCTTTCAGAAGAGGTTCTGAAGGTCTTCCTTACCAGGAAATATTGAAAACTGGACTTTGTGAAATTTCAGAATTTTTATTGTTGTGAAGAGTGATGTGGTGTTGCAGAGGTGGAGGTCTTGAATCAACCTGTAATTCACTCTGGTAATGCTGTGAGTCTGCCTGTGATCAACCTACTCAGTGAAGAAGCAGGACTTCAGCAAGCGCATACCTTGGCACCTCCACCCGCCGAGATAGAAAAATCCTTGTGAAGAGCTAAGCTTTTGTTTAGGATTTTTAATAATAATAAACCAAAAATATCCCAAACCAACACCCCAGCAGTGAAAGCTAATTCCTCGCGTATCCCTTACTGTACGTCTGTGACATGCTTTGAGATGATGGTGTATTGTTCTTTTGATCCTTTTAGAGATAGCTGGGAAGGAGAAAAACGGAGAAAAAGCCCTCGTCCCTCTTGTGGAGCCTTCTGCTGGAGTTCAGGAATTTCAACAGAGTGATCTTTTGGCATAAACTGGTTTTTCAAGAGACATTCCTGCCATTATGAATGAAGTAGCAATAGTGAAGGAAGGCTGGCTTCACAAACGAGGTAAGTGACTCTTCCCTCCCGGACAGTGGATTGACTGTCTCCCGTGCAATGATCTGGTGTTTAGCAGCATGTCTTTAAATAATCCATTATTTTCCCCTTCACCTTAGTGGGAATATAAGGACTGTGTGTGACTTTCTTTTAAGTTTTAGAAAATGCATGTACGAGGAGTTTTCTTTGTGTGTGTGTGTGTTTTCACCGAAAACTGCTTTGAAAATGATGATAGAGATAGCAACTGAAAGAGATGCTACTTAAGTGTTAGAGGTTAAACTGTAGCAAATTATTTTGCTTTACATGTAGGCCTGGAGCTTTTCTTTTTGTGTTTGAAGGGAGGATTAAGGTGAATCTTTTTTGAAAAATATGCCTGTACTCCGTGAGTAGTGCTGTGCTCTTGCAGAGACTTGCTAGAGAATGTGCTATTCTGTTTGTGTCTGAACTGGTCTTGGTACCAGTGTCCTGGATGGGAAGAATAGCCTCGAGTTTGTGCACACTCTGCATTTCTGTTGTACCACTAATGCCGTTTGATTTTTGTAACAAGTCTTTCTTCTTGACAGAGTGGCAAAACTGATAAAACAGTCACGTGTACCATTAGGCATTTACATTCTTAAATGTTTTCTTCCCAAAACAGTGAGTTTGTTCTTTTCTGGGGAGGTGTTCATTTTCAAGTACCACAGCATTGATCCTATATGGTACCTCACTTAGGTGTTTCTTTATATTCTACTATCATTCCTTGGAAAGGAGAGAGCACTGACAGGTACTTTCCATAATAGCGTCATTTTTTTTGGACCAACAACAGAATCTCTGTGCTCCAGCAGTAGGGAAGCTTACATGGTTCTGCAGACTCAGGATTTTTCTAGAGGGTTTGCAGCAACTTGCCTGAAGGTGCAAAGGTGTAGCGTAATTATTTATGGAAGAAATTATAAATACGTTATCGTAACCTGGATAAAGACTGATGGTTCTGCAACAATAAGAAATATCTAAGAATTTAGAAAACATGTTGATGATCTGTGTTTTAAAAGGGTGGAAGCATATATTTCTAACAGCTGGATATGCAGTGTAGTTTAGCAGATTGTTTGATGCTTGATGTACAAATGTTTTGATAAAATTTTTTCTGTTTTGTTTTTCTTTTTTTGTTCCGGTTTATTTCAGTTGGAAACCTCTTTGCACTCATTAGCTTAAACAGCTCATTCAGTAATTCTGGTGTACCCAGGCTGCCTTGTTCTGATAAAGTATTTGAGAATTATGCTGTGTTTGGATTAAACAGGAGAAAAGAAACACAGAATTACGCTTCCCATTACCATTTATGAATCTAGAAACTCTTCAAATCAGAGAGATTTTTTTAGTTTAAACAATGTTTTTAGGTTGAGGGATTTTAGCTGTCTTTTGTTACAATTCTTCCTGCAATTATCTGTAATTTAAAAAAAAAATTGTTATTTTGAGGAACACTGTAAAAAAATCGGGGAGAAACATTTACTTTAGAAAGTATGAAAAAGGTACTGTCAGGACGATTCAGAGCAGATGTGTCTGAAACTTTGAAACAGTCATGTTATGTTTCAAGCATGTCTGTGTTTACTTTTGAGAACTGAATTTTTGTTGTTTCTAGGATTATGATAAAACTACTTTCAAGTAAGGAGACCTCTGGAGGAGATCTCAGTAAAAGATGCCCAGATCTCCTGATCTGACTTTTTTTTTTTTTTTGAAATTGCCTTAGAGAAACAGATTATTATCTCTTATAGTTTGCTGATAATACGATGAGATTATTTGCTGAACACATTTCTATTTCCAAAATGTTACTCTGCACGTTCTGCGTATTTGATACAGCAAATTTGTGCCCAAACGCCCAAACTGTTAAACGTGTCTTGGCATTTTTTGGATGCCAGGTTTCCTAATCTTTTTAACCTGTTTCCCAATGCCTTTTTACCCTCTCGGTATGTGCAGTGACACCTATTTCATTCCACTTATTGACTTTGCAGTTATTAATTCGGTGTTGTCCATGCGAGGAGGTTTCCAGAAGGCAGTGCTGCATCTTAGCCTGCCAGCATGTCAGATCTGTTATTCTCTTGGTTTTGTAGCTGTTTTGGAATCAATTGACAAATTCAGTTCTTTTGACTGGGTCTTGGTCAGGGGGTAACTGATCCACTTGTGTGTGTGTGTGTTTTGTAAAGGATCTTTCTTTTCGAATAATCTAGACTTATTGCCTGACCCTATCAGTGTGCTGGCTCTGCCAGATCAAGTGCTTCAACCACAGGATGTTTCCAAAACTGATGTCTGATACCATGAGCTTCTGAAGTTGAGGCGTAAACAGTAATTACTGCAGGGAGGGACTGCTAAAGGGGGATTTTTAGATATAGGAAACATATATTGTTTGTCTTTTGGATCATTTATAAAACCAAAGGTTGCACTGCAAGTGTTCTTTAAAGATCTTAGGTCTTTCCACATGCAAATATTTTAGGTAGTGACTGTCCGAAATCCAGATTGGGCAATGATGTTCTAACGTTCCCCACAGCTTTGGTTGGATATGGTGTCTCTTAGTTCACGTCCCGAGCCGTTGAACAGCATGGCTGTGTGCAGTGAAACAATTGCTACATCTCACCCCAGCAGTGGCTTAATTTTGGTGGTTTTAATGAGTTGTGTATGTATAAATCAGGCAGCGAAGTGCTCTGGAGCCCTTCTGGATGGCAGGTGTAAGTAAGCATAAAGCCATCATTAGCAGGAGCAGGTGTTTTGGCCTGGCGGGGAAATAGCAGGGCTTTCTAGAACTGTAGGGTAGTTTTCTTCTGTCAGCATGCTTTACATTTCTGTTTTTGTTTCCAAGATTAAAAATACAAATGGAGAAATGGAATTAGACATTGCTGCCTGGCTGAGAGCTCTTGGCAGTTCTGTAAGTCAGTTGCTTAAAGGAAGCTCTACTTCCAGTAGTGCAGATGTTTGTTTGTGCAGGGGCCAGAGTCATCTCATTGACACGTCTAACCTCAACCAGGCAGAAATAGAAGGATTCATGAATGAACTTCTTCCCCCCTGCCCTCTTCCCCATTGGCAGTGCTTAGTGCATGTTACTCAAATCACAGCAAGGCAACAGACTCTTGTGTGAAGTAGTTTCTGACCACTCTTTGTGTAACTGCACGGCTGAACTGTTCCAGCACACACATAGGACGCATGAAGGAACTCAGACATGGGGTTGGTGTATTGTACATGTACATCCAGAGTACGTACTCCCTGGCTGTGTTATGCTGAAGGTTTGTTTAGTGGGAAAGGATGGGGGAAATGGTTTGACTCAGAGGTGCCATAATTGTGATTGAATATGAGGGGAGAAGGAGAAAATTATCTGCCCAAATTGCTGCTTGTTGAGCTCTGAGATTATAGGTTTTCTGAATGTATGTCATGAGTATCCTTAATTTTGGTTGTGTGTGTGGAACTTTTTGGATAACCGAGGTGTGCCCAAGTGTATTTTGTTTGCTTTACTGATCTGTTTTAAAGATCTCATTGGATTTCTTGCATCTTTCTGCTCTGGTCCCTGTTTATAAAGGTCTTTCTATTGTTTTCAGTCTTCATCCTGTTTTTTTTTTTTTTTTTAAAGTCTTTCTGCACAGCTAACAAAGGGGGGATTGTGCGTTTTGATACTCTGTCATCTCTGTCCTCCCTAGTATGTCCGGTTTTCTTATTAGGGCATAAACTCGTATGAAAAAAAGGAGTCTTCTGGAGGCAGGGAAAGAGGGGGAGGGAAAAATGTACATTGACATTTGAAAAAGGAAATAGAATTCTTGATTTCTCAGTCTGAGAAATCTGAGGCAATTATAAGGTGCAGGAAAGACCTGTGTATTCATCCATTAATAATTAGCAGGAAATACAGAGCGATTTTGTTTTTAAATAGTATATAAACAACACACAGTATTTTAACCATGAAAACCGGAACATTTTCTTGAAATGTCAGTTTTTGTGGACTCCAGGCAGGTAAAAGTATTTGACTGATTGAGTCTCTGGCTTACAAGCTGATCAAAATTAGTAGAGGCCCTTGAATGAGAAATTATACAAAAGGTACTTACTCCACTTCTGGAAATAATACTTTTTTTTTTTTTGTTAAAGAATTATTTCTGTAATGAATGGAGGGATACAGACAATTGAATAAATAACCAGTGGTCCCTTGTGATTTGTCTTCCTATAGCTTCATTGCAAAAAGTGAATGCAGGGTTCATATGTAAAATACAAACCAGGAATCGAATGCTGATTGTTGCTCTTTTAACTTTCTCTGGCAGAATAGCACAGATGGTGAACTTTAGCTTTGTTATTTTGAGCACAGGTTCATACTTTCAGCGTTCTGTTAGTATGAATCAAAACAGGATCTTACAAGATATTTTTTAAGCCAGTGGGGGGGTCTCTTGTGTTGCTGTTTTTCTTCACCTCTTCTTTCTTCTCTCTTTTCTGTTCTCACCATGTTCCCTACCTCTTTTTCTATGTGTGTGTGTGTGTGTGTGTGTGTGTGTGTGTGTGTGTTTTGGGGTGTTTTTTGTTTTTTATCTTGGCTTCTGTCTGTCCCTGGGATGTAGCAATGCACTGTCTTGATGACCTGTGTAGCCAGAACCCTCGAGGTTCAGATTAGTTCCAGGATCGTCTGACTTTCATGGTATTTCAAAGGAATGGCTGTGGCACTTGATACAAAGGATCCTAAGAGCCATCTGAACTCTGAAGATGCCAGCTATAGAGGGCACAGCTGCTTCAGAGGAAAAACTGGGGGGAATGGAAAGGTAAGAAACAAGATAGGGGCTGGACAAAGAATGGAGTAGGGAAGTTTGTGACAGAGGGAAAGAAGCCGATGCTATTTCTAGAGCTGAAGGGTTGGGTTTATAGGGAAATCTGTTGCTCTTCTTATTGGAAACAAAAGATAAGCTGTGTCAGTTTGTGGTTTTCCTTGTGTGTCTCTTTTTCGACACAAGGGGCAATAGTTTTGCAATGCTTGCTCTTGGTTGCTTTCATTTTGCTTGTCCTGTTCTGGGAAAAGAGGACTG